CATTAAGCAGATACAATCTCGCTTTCACGGTTGCTACAGCTCAATGAATTTCGTTAAACATCCTTCATCATCACCCATCTGAGCCCAATAAATTGCCCTGAATCATTGTTGCTTGTTTCTCTCTAAATTTTTTCCTCTTATTTACTCGAAACGCAGACAATGCTTTGACAATTCTAAGAAGCTAAATATTTCACTTATTTCATGGAAACGAGCTTCTTAAGACGACAAGAACTTATTTGACTATGATGAAGCAATCTTTCTATCACATAGCTAAATTTCAACCAGGTTGCTTCAAGTTTGCATCTCAGTAAACAAAATCAAAGAGTTGTGGTTGGTTCTTAATTTGGGAGGATTGATACTCTCTTTTAACTGTGCCGCACAATTGCAGAAATTGGATAAACATATTCCAATGGCTTGCTCGGACACTGTAATTGATGGAAACCATGATGAGTATGTATCGACTACCAACATTTAATGAAAAAACGAAACCGGCAAGTAATGGACGACCTTCACCCTCAAGCAGTAGTTATGGTAAGAAACAAGCACAAAACAGGGGAACGACTTAAGTTCCAGCAGTACTATACACTAAAAGCATGAATTGGTAAGATTCAGGCGATCACTACGCACCCGTTCGATGGCGACATCTTCATGGCCATTCTTGATGAGCTGAACGACGTCCTCGCGCAACTGCCTCACGATCGAACTCCTCTTGTTCTTCAGCAGCTTCAGCCGGCACTGCACTCTTCTGATCACCTTCTTGCTGCAACACAAGGGCGCATATTACCAACACTGTCTCCACCAGCTTCGGAACAAAAAGGAACGATGGAAAAAGACATGATTGACAGGAGAAACATCACACGAAACTACCATTTCGAAGCTTTTCGCCACCCGAACAGGATGTCGAACATGGCCGAGATGTTTTTTGAAGCAGCTTCTTCTCGAGCCTTGCGAGCGTTCAAGAGAACTCTGAGTGTTGAATCAGCAGGCCTAGCATGCCGGTCAGCTACAAACCCAAACAGGGAGACGAAACATGGAAGCTCGAAACAACTTAATTTTCCAGCTGGTGAAAACTGAAGGTAAGGTTGGTGGGAGAGACAGAGAGAGAGAGGGAAGATCAGACTGAAGCTTAACGATGACAGTTTCTTGCCATGTCTCTTTTGTTTTTCCCTATTGAGTGTGAATTTTGCATTTCATGGTCGGGTCATGGGCGTTATATTCAGGAAGAGTGGGCTTGAAAAACACAAGCAGACGGTTCTCGTATGCCCCGGAAAACCGCTCCACTACGATAGAGGGACACGTGTCACAAACCCACCAAGCCATTCTTTTTCCACTTCTTGGTTCATATTAGTCCTCATTTCTATCTCATTTTATTTTCAATAGATCGTGGAGTTTTCAATCTCTTTCGTGAGACATCATCCAATGCATTGACCCGACGATAGGTACTGTTGGATTAAGAAAACCCACAATTTCTTTCCTTAATTATTCCAAAAAAAAGTTGAAGGAAAAATTGATGTCTTATTCCAAAGCACCCAATTGCATTACTTTAACGATAAAAAAGAAAGGCAGGATTGATTCCTATCCACTAAAGGTTGCCGTGGTCTCCTGACTTCCTTCGTAGATAAAGCAAGATTGGCTCAAAAGGTTCATATTAAAGAGCAGAATTGATTCCTAACTTTTCTTAAAGGGTCCATCCTGACTCGGATAATCAAAACCATAGTACAAGAGATTAATTTAGTTGTGAGAATTAGATATTATTTTCGTTGCAACCCCTGAAAATCAACTAAACTACACAGTAGCGTGCAAGCTTCTGCAGTTTTCCCTATGAATTTGGTAAATCTGCTACTCGTGATTTAGCTCAGGTTCGATCTGCTGACCTTTTCAGCCAGATCGTGGATCGGTTAACCGGAAGTCAAGTGGGGCGGTATCAGAACTCTCTCCGCTGTTCTTCGGCATAAGTGTAGTAGTGGGTTTGGATAAAGAAAGCCAACTGTGAAGAAAGCTTGTCCATTTTGCTGGAAACAAGAAAGCATCATCAGAGATTGATGATGATGACGAAGATGATGAATTTAAAGAAGCAGGAGACATTCCTGTGATCCTTAACCTACACGCTCTGACACCACATCCCCATGTGAATGAATTCTTTTATGCGCCCCCCACCACAGGCTGCGTGCTCGTTAGCGCAGTCAAAGGTTCCGGTCATCCAACCCCATCTCTCTCTCTCTCACAGTCACGCGCTCACGTGATGGGTGTTTGGGCTGGTGGCCAAACTTTATGGCACGGCATGTCTATTACGGCGGGACACTGAGGTGGGGTCGTTGCTTACGCATGGAGGGTGAGCTTGAGCTGCTCATGATTGCGACCATAGACACGCTGCCAAGGGGGTCAGGTCATTATAATATCGTTTTCTTGCTTGATTAAGAAAAACTGGGATGGCTTAATCATTACTCGAATGACCCGACTTTGCATGCTACATTTCAGATGCTTGTTCTAATGCCTGCGAGGAGTCCATTTGATGGTGGATTTTTGTGGGATGTGTCTTGTGGTTGAATTTCTCATAGTCCTCTAGCTTCGAGAATTGGTTAAGTGGGTTCATAGCATTACCTTTCACATTTGGTAGTTAAGTTAAATCGTGCTGTTTCCTAGTTATGGATTTGGTTAGGTGCCCAACCAAACCCTCTTGTTTCTTTCTTTTCTTCTTTCTTTCTTGTGGAGAAGTCAGTTCACTTGTTGATTTCAGTCCATATTGTTTCTTTCCTAGTGAAGAAAAGAGCTTGGATGATCATTAGGGCGATGGTTTAACCATCCCTTTGGTGTCTTAATAAACTGTACATGGAATTCGATTGGTGCATCTATGCAGAAGTGATTAAAATTTAGCATTGATAACCGTGATGAGAAATGCATTGGACAGAGGAATTTTCTTGAAGGATACCGTGGAATTGAATTGTTATTGCTAGAGCTTGGAAGACCAACAAGATGGGTCTGTAGCAAACCCTTTGGCATTGGCACAGGGAGCCATCAAAGTCTGTGGATTTGGTTAGGTGCCCAACCAAACATCACTTGTTTGATTAATCACGTGTCCTTGTCAGAAAAACAATAGCCTCAATTGTCAATTTTCTATTGAGCTGCAAGTTTCTACACATATGACTGGCAACTCGTGGATGGAGGAGGGAATGAAGAACTTTAGTTGTTGCTGGAGGTCTTGTTTACAATTACCTAACACCTATTTCCAAACATGATCAGGTAAATGGAGGGATCAAAGAATCATGGATTCTGTTCCATAGAGCTGAGCATTCACATTGAACAGGAACTTACAGATATATCAAACAGGCTGAGAAATAATTTTTGACATGAAAGAAAATAAAAGAAAACTTCTTTCAGCTTTAGAAACTCTGATTTACCTGACATTTTTAAATTTGTGTATATGATATACCAACTTGAGATTTGTCCCACCATACCTCAAAGAAACTTCAAATCATTAGCCTAAAGAACCAATAGCCAATAACTTCAAATCAATTCGAACAAGAATGTCTTTTATGCCTTTCTGTTAGCATCAACAATTTATTTGAACTTGGAAATGAGGAAGTTATGTTATTGCTGCATAGACATGCCTAGTAAATAAAACCCCAAAGTCCTCTGCTTGAGAATGAAAGATGCTCGATAAGGATATCATGAGGACTTATGCCTCGCAAAGTTTTAAGCTTTTCAAGAGGACTTTAGAAGTTTTGCATGGTACCTGCTGGATACAACCTATGGGCGCCAGCTTCAAGATGCTTGGAGCATTGTGTGAACCAGTTTTAAAAGTTGCTTTTTTCCCTTATTATGTTGCATATACGGACTTCCTAGTCAGAAGAATTTTTCACTTAAGAAGTCCTGCAAAGATATTACAAAATTTCTGTGCTTTTTTGGGTATCTGAACTAAAATTTACTTTACACGTATCGGTTGGATTCCCTATCCAAACTGCTGCTAATACAAGTGTATCAAACAATGTCTTGCTTAACAAGTCCACATTATGGAAGCTCTGTCGAGTAGTCGCTTCTGAAATGGCATAGCCTCACTGAGAACCTTCAACCCTTTCAACTATTTATGTTTCCTTCCTTTTATTGCTTGGTTACATTTACGTGCTCTTTTCTTTTCTTTTCAAATTGTTACCAGTGACATTTCAGCAGAAAACTGGAATTGACCAAACACTTGGCAATACGTATCCTGGGTCTGGGTACCTGTCCCGAGTTGACTCCGCATCAAGTATTATGTTATTTATGGGATATCGCCTAATTGACGGATAATATTAGTCTTTGATTCAAAGTCGCAAGAAATAAAGCAGGCACTCTGTGCGTTTCAAGATTGCGCAAAGATTCAACAGAAAAGATTGGGCTGGTTGTGGGCGAGGAGGGATTCAAACCCCCGACCTTGTGGTCCATAGCCACAAGCTCTAATGTTCTGAGCCTATCTCTCACTAGTGGCATTGGCGCAATGTAGCTATGTATGCAGGCAGCATATGCCCACAGGCCACAGCCATGGCTTATTAGAAGTAGAAGTTGGCTTTGGTGGGAATTCTGGATTTCAAATATAGAAATTTATTCTTGTAATGCATTCATTAATACCTTCCAGGATCATGTGTTTAATTGCTATACCTTAATGGCAAAAGGAATGAGGGAAATCACTTCAAATACTATTTTGTGTTTAGAAAGCAAAACATGGAGGAATCTCTATCAGGAAGAACATTGCTGCAGAAATATTGGTCTTCATGTACATCCTTCAGTACTATCTCTCCTCACAGAGGGAGATGTTTTCATTGTCTTAGATAATTTCTTCTTCTAATTGTTATTTAGGATCTTCCTTTCAACAGGTAAATAAAGTATCCATATTCATGAAAAACAAGAACACAATGGAGCTCTGACTTGGTATTCTTGACTCTTTCAACCGGATCTTCCGGTTCTTCTATTTCACCTTTACAGGCTTGAGGAGATGCATTTTGGGTCAGCATTCCCGGACAGAAATGTGAGAACAAATTGAGTTCCACGTCCAACAAAAGCCAATACTATACAATCTACACCTGTGGATATATACCTCTGTAACATATTGTTTACTTCTTTGATAAACAATTGAATGATTACAGTACAACATGCTCAGCGAAAGCCTCTGATCATTCAATTTCTCGGAAAGATGCAAACGCGTTAAATGCTCCTGATTGTCCATTCTTGTCCATACATTCTGTCCAAGCCAATCTCATAGTTCGATATGGGGGATGCAGGTGTTCGATACGATTTGCGTCTTCTTGTTCGGCGACAAGTTATCCACAACCAAAGCACAGATGACGCGAACCGTGATCTGCCTCAGTGGGAAGGTCCCGATAACAATGCCAACTGGTACCTTAACAATCACATTCAATGGAATCTTCCCGGTGTGCCGGTTCTCCATCAAAGCTTCCTGAAGGCCCGACCCGAACTCGCTCTTTCCTTTCAAAACCACTTTTATCATGGTTATGTTCATGTGGCCTTGGTGGAAAGCCGGGAGCTGGCCATTACACAGCGTTGAATCCTGATAAGCGACCACGACCGAACTTTCCTTGCCGTAATTGAACCCTATGTTCTGGTTAGGATTGTCAGCCTTCACGGTCACCACGAACTCGGTATAGAGGCTGAAGTCCGGCTGCATGTCGAATGAATTGGTCGCGAAGCTGTCAACAGTGTAGGACGGGATCTGCGGCTTGAACACGGCATAGAAGTAGAAGGCAAGGGTGGCGAGGACGAAGATCAGGAGGAAGAGGAAGCAATAGCAGCAGCAAATGCACTTCAGGCAACAACCCCCGCCACCAGACTTGTGGTGGTTCGAGTGGTACCGGGGGATGTTACGGCGGTAAGGGGGCGGGCGGATGCTACCCTGGTTCTCCTGGAGCATCATGTATTTCGGCGGGTAGGGAGGCGGGGGATCCATGCCGGTCGAGGGGTTGGCGTCCACGGGATAGACCCTTTTGTGGGCATAGTCCATAGATTTCTTGGAGGAGAAGGAGAAGAAGAAAGAACTTTTTTTTTTTGGTTTTTTTCAGTTTTTCTTTCTTCTTTCTCAATTCCAAAACAAGGGCATGAGGTGGGTGGAGAAAACTGGGATGGTTTTAGGATTGTCCACTGATCAAGGGCATTGTTACATTTGTGTGGACGTAGAGATGCTCTGAAGGATGGCCTAAGGTTTTTGGTTAATGCCGAGGTTTGTGGGATTCAACTGACAATCTATTGTATTCCTCTCTCTCTCTCTCTCTCTCTCTCTCTCTCTCTCTCTCTCTCTCTCTCTCTCTCTCTCTCTAGAACCTTACATTTTCAAACTGTCGAAAAACTAGGGTTACATCCTTTTCTAGTCGGCTCAAATATGTGAAATAAACTTCGTGGTCTTTGTTTGAAATTGGTTGATGAAATGTTCTTCTTGATGGACTGATCTAAATGATATATAGTTTAGTGCAACATGAGCAATTGCAGATTGCTTTCTGTGTCAATTCATCCGACCTACAAACCCGATATATCTGAAGAGAAAAGGTCGTAGCTCAGCACAAAGTAGAATGAAATCTTCCATAAATCTTCCAATAATATACAAATGACTTAAATGAAAAGAATTAACTTAAGCCCCAGATCAATTCTTGAAACTCAGCCAAAGAATTAGCTCAGAAACATCTTGTTATCGACCGCGGACAGGACACGTTTACTGCCGACCTGCAATCACAAGACCTCGCCCGGGCGAACGAAACAATCGAGACCACCAGCCTCTTCGCCTTGATCACTATCTTCCTCAGCTTCTTACACCTGATGATACTTCTCTTCCTCCTCTTCCCTAAGCTGTCTGCGGACGCCAACTTGTACGTTCTCAAGAACACTCGCCGGTGCCTCGCCTTCTCGTCGCGCGTAACTCGACTCCACTCAACACGCCCAGGCGCCGTTCTAAACCGATCCTCGCTCTCATTGTCGGTTGCTTCGGAACCGCGGTTCAAGAGCTCGTAGGCACAGGAATTAGCAGGACTGGACCGGAGGAAATTAGCCGGGCTCAACAGGAAAGTGGTGGTTTTGACCGTAGTGTTCATGGCTAAAAGAGATGGATACTAAATGTAGCACCAATGTATAATCTGGTAAAGATGGCAAGTTCATTCTGTTCTTATTTAGTGACAAGAATTGAATCAAGAGTCTACACAGAAGCCATATCTTTCCCTCCTTGGCGGGCGCCTACGGTCCGTGGAATCGTGATAAACTTTGCAGCAAAGTCAAACCGCTCATCAATTCAATAGCGACGCTACCCAAAAAAAGTCAAATTGCTGTACAGCCAAGGGGCAACAGTCCAATCACGTCAATGTTAATTAGCAATAAAGATCAGATGCATAATCCCTCGTCGTTTCAGCCTCATAGAAATTAGAAACCATATTTTCTGAGTGCGACAAGCTCTACAAAGTTGACGTTTGACCAGAGGATTGGCTAAGTCAACGCAAAGTGGACGGAGAAAGCTCTACTAAAACGTGCAGGTCAGCTCCACCCCCGGGGAAAGATCGCAGAGCTCGGGAGGGACTATTCTGCTTAGGTTATTGCAGGTTTCAGACGCAGAAGCCGGCAAAGCAATATATTGTAACGAGTTAGTTCGTCTTCAATGTGAATAGCATAGGGAAATTAGTTGAACCATTTCACATGTGAAACACGGTTTCATAAGGTGGTGATGCCTGCCGCATCAATCAAAGCTAACAGATGTCTTGTCTTGTCTTACATTAGTCCAATGGACTGATTCTTGACTTTTCTATCTTCAGGTAAAAAGTAATATGTCGCCTAGGCTAGGCCTACTCATCGATACGAAATTGTTTGAGCTAATACCACAAAAGTTCTCAAATGGATAAATCCCATTTTATATTTGCTAAAAATTAATTTTCGTGTCGGAAAAAAATCTCAAATTGATATATTTGTGCCACGTGAAAAGCAAATTGATTTCCGTGTTACGAAAAATCTCAAACCAATATACAAGTGCCATATTTACTAAAAACTAATTTTTATTCATAAAATACAATTTCTTAGGTTGGAAAATCCACCAATTTTTCCCTAAGAGCTCCCTCAATTTTGTAAAGTCCGCTAAAATTAGTTGGGGATAAATGTGACACGAGTGTATCGGTTTGTGATTTTTTGTAACATGAAAATTAGTTCGGAATAAATGCGGCATGTGTAACACCTTGATATTTTGTCTAACGTGGAAATTGATTTGGGGTAAATGTGACACATATGTACCAACTTGAAATATTTTGCAGTCTTAATATAACAAGTTTACACCATTACTGGGAAAAATTGTCCAAAAAGTCATAAACTTATTGTGCTTTTGTCAATTTAGTTATAAACATTTTCACGCTTTGCTAATTGAGTTCATTCGGCCAATTAACCGGAAATCACTAATGTGGATCCCAGCTGTCCTACATGGCACGATTGGTACTGATATGGACAATTTTTAATAATAGTTTAATAATTTTTCGAATTTTTTAATTAATTTTTAAATTTTCTTGTCTTCACTTTTTCTTCTTTACTTTTTTTTTCCTTTTCTCTTCTTTTCTTTCTTATTTTCTCCCTTCGCTGACCTCGGACGAGGGTCGCCCCTGCCCAGGCTAGTAAGGGCAAACCCTTGCTCGATCTGGCAAGGGGGGTTGGGGAGGATCACCCTTGCCTGGGTTGGCGAGGTTGGTGACCTTCGCTGGCCATCGATGAGGCCCAGCGATGGCCGGTGGAGGGAAAAAAAAAAAGAAGAGAAAAAGAAAAAAAAAAAAGAAGAGAAAAAAAAGTAAAGAAGGAAAAGAAAAGAAAAGAAAAAATCAATAAAAAATTCAAAATTTTATTAAAATATTATAAAAAATTATCTACTTCAACGCCGACCGTGTCATATAAGATGGCAGTGTCCACGTCAGTGATTTGTGGCCGGATGAACTCAATAAGAAAAATGTGAAAATGTGTAGAACTCAATTAACATAATTAAAAAGTTTAGGATTAAAATTGACAAAAATGCATTACGTTTAGGACATTTTATATGATTTTCCCCCCTTACCGTAACTTGACGGGCTTGTTCGGGCTTTGTATCTGAATGACCTTTTCCAAGCCCGTTTGGCCAGAGCTGGCCCGAACTTATGTTTAGGAACCAATCCGAGCCCCTGCGGGGCCGAAGCATTATTCCAATCCGATGCGGCACTGTTTCAACTAACACTGTACCGCACTTTAGGCCGAAGCATAGCATTGTTCCAATCCGATGGAGCACCGGGCCAGTCACATCGAACAGTAATGGTTTCAATGCTCTGAATTCCAGGCTTGTGATCGCTGAAGAATCTGAGCGATTGATCATTTCGAGCTGTCCTTAGCGGGGGAGAGGTCCAAAGGAATAAGAGTTAATGGAAAAGCTCGAGTTCATCAATGGTGGTCGTTGGCCCGCATTAATGGCGGTCACATAATTGACCACACATGCGTTGTCCCCGAGCTTTCTTAACTTCGAGGTATGAAAATTGGGAAAGTGAAAAAAACAGCTAGCGAAGTCGACGAGCTCGCGTTTCATTTATTGTCTGGACTCCTCACGGAGGACGAGCACTTCCACAGTTCTTCGACCATCATCAAACCCATGAAGTCTTCTTCCATTAGACGAGCACAATAAGCTTCCGGTGCTGTTACATGTGAGTTTCTCTCTGCGGGTGCATCGTCTTTCATGTGACCTCCCTCTTAGGGTTTTGCATACGCACTCTTGCCTGTGATCTGCTTCAATACCGGTCTGCTTTTGTGCTCGTGAATATTTAAACATGGCCTGAGTCTTCCATCTTGGGACACTCCCTTAGTGAATGAACTGACTGAGGCTCACATTTTCCTGGGCTTGATATTACTGTCAAGGGAAAGAGATTTAAGAAAGAGATTGAGAGAGAGAGAGAGAAGGGTCAAAATACTACACACTGCAAAAGCAATGAAGGGTTCTGCTTTGCTTGTTGCTTCGCTCCTCATCCTTCTCTTTCTTGTTCCTTATTCTACCGTCTCCGCGAGGCGCATCGGCCGACCGAGCTCAAGTATGAGACTCTCTCTTTGTCAAATGCTTTTTTCCTAAGTTTTTCAGGAAAAGATTATTTATAGACTGATTTTACAGAAGTATTTGGTAAGAGTTCTTTCTTGTTTCGAAAGTACTCGAGTACCGTTCGAACTGCTAAGGTGGTAGACTTGATTTGTGGCACCATTTGTCATAACATGTGGAGTCTTGTACAATTTTTTTTGCAGAGCTAATATTACTATACTTCTACAAAAATGTACATAAATCTTACTATGACTTATTTCAGGAGTTGAGTTACCACCCTCCTACATACTCATATGTGCTTCAGTTACTGTAGGAGAAAATGATATGGGGTATTTCATTCGATAGAGCTTTAATAATTATCTCTGAGTCTTCATCTTACAAAGCTAAAACATGGGTGCTTCAGATCATGGTCACCGACACACAACACGGCCTAAGGTGAAGGTTGAGCAGGTGGTGGCGAAACCGAACTTCTACTGGGAAAGAAGGCTGCCGACAAGAGCAGGGAGGGCGGACACGGTCCAAATCGCGGGGTCGAGCTTGCCGGATTGTTCACACGCCTGTGGCTCGTGCTCGCCGTGCAGGCTGGTCATGGTCAGCTTCGTGTGCGCATCGGTTCAGGAGGCAGAGACATGCCCAATGACTTACAAGTGCATGTGCAAAAACAAGTCCTACCCCGTCCCATGATCCTTCAATCGACCAACATCGCCAAGCCTTGTTCCCAAGGCACTGTAACATAACAATCCCTTGACAATGACATTTTCATCGGTCACTTTTTTCCCAGAAAATTTTCCTTTTAAGGCCTCCAAAAAATAAAAGGAAAACCTCGTTAGGCCATCACGGTTTTGGATTGTAATTGGTCGATGTCCTTCTCTTTGGTCGATTATTCGAGAGCCTCATCATTAGCATAAGTTGAATTTCATATGCAAAGAGTATGCCAAAAGATCTCATTTCATGTGTCGAGTTGAAGTAATGATCGTGTGTGAGACATCATATCTTTTGCCTATCTTTACAATTTAATGGCCGGACCGAATTATAAAAGGAAATCAAGAGCTGAAAGAAAGCAGAATCTCAAACAAAAGGTCTTGAAGTAATCTTGGGGATGTTGAGAAATTTTTATCGTGATCATTATATTAAGTAATGTGGTTTAACTACGTAATTAAATTAGGGTATCTCCATGCAACACTCCTTTCTATACTCCAGTTAGCCATAAAATGAAAATCCATCTATGGTCATTATTACTGATTTTGCCGATCAACGAGCGATTTTCTAATTGGGTTAGTAATCTTTTTTGCCGATCAACGAGCGATATTGAAAAATTATTTTTATAAAAGTTATGAGAACATGAAAAAGTAGCTACTTAAAAAGCACTTACGTTTTTATGAAATTTAAATAAGCACGTTTAAAAAGTTACTCGGTATAATTACTTATATGGAAATTTGCAATGCTAAGTGAAAAGTTACTAATTGAGTGAAAAATTGTTAATTTCCAATAAATTGAAATTTTATGTTTTCACATGGAAATTTATTAGTCAAATAAAAAGATATTTATAGTTATAAATATTTTTTTTCCAATAAGAGAATTAACTCATTAAAATATTCGATAAGTTAACTTAGTTTAATTGCTTGATATATTTATATTCATATTTTCAAATGAAAAGAAACTAAGCACTTGGCGAAGGTCGAAAGTTGCCTTAATTTTTTTTTTTATCGAAATTTGCTAAATCACACAAAAAGATACTAATTACTTTAGTTTCTATACTTTCTCTGTAATATGTTAAAAAGAACTAATCATCGTGAAAAACGAAGGTATAATTAATCAAAATTTTTATGCTCACTATTCCGTAAAAAAAATTTAACCATGTGGATGAATTTACTAATTCCCAATAATGTTGAAAAGTTAAATTTCTCCTAGTAGGATAGGTACGTATTTACTTTTCAAATATGAAAAGTTAATAAAACATCAAGAAAATATCAAAATTAGTATAACTAATTACTTGATATTTATTAACATTTACACATGACTAATAGCTTCTGCATAATGAAGTCGTTCAATGCAACTGTAGTTAGTAATCTTTTTACCCGAATATAATTTAAGCCGTTGATTTTTATCTCTTGTATTTTATGCCCATGAAATTGTATAACCACATAATGCAACCAAAATGCTTAATTTGTTCATAAATTCAGTGAAATCATGCCACGTCATCGGTGAATATAAGCTCCAGAATTCAGACAAGTTCTTACGCAATAAATGAAAAGGAGTTCATGTCTGGTTACTACCAAACTTACTTACATTAGTCGATCCATTTACTTGTAATTACATTTTCTTGTGTAGACTTTCGAAGGGGGGGAAAATCCTCTTTCTTTCTTTATCAAATATGCTTCTCAACCGTACAAGTCACAACATGCGCAATTACTTCAACTTCGTATCGTACATGCCAAAGGCATTATGTGCACACATAGGAAAAGGAACACATTACCACATGCTTTTGACTTTCTAACTAACATATAGTCGGGCAGCATGGAGGTAGCGTGCAATCTATTCATGAGGTTGACATTGCAATAAAGGACCGAGAAACTTTTGGGCGTTTTCAGATAGCATGACGTCCCGATTCATTCAAGCCAATCACTACATATTGAAAGTTACGATTTATTATCCCAAAATGATGTTGCTTTGAATGCATGATCAGATTAAATGGAGGAGGACGTATTCGTCTCGGAGAATGCTTAAACATTATTTTTTAGAATGTGCAAGTTAGGAGTCATTAAACAAAAACAGAGGATACGATCAAACCAAGTTAATTTGATGAAATTTATTGCTCAAATTGCACTTAGAAATCAAGACGTGGTATTAGCCTATGGTACATTTGACTCTCCAGCCTAAGCTTGAGTCGAAGAGGAAATAAAAGGTCATGTCCTAGTTACCCAAACGAGCTTCGAGCCAGCGAGCTCAACAGTGCGCCACACCCATAAATAGATCTCTTGCATTCACTCTTTCTACAAGATAATATATTTAGTTTGATACGTTGTGTATATCATTTGATTTTTTCCGCAATTTGCCGAATCTCACAGATATTCGCAATATTGTGTGTATCTTGTGTACATCATAGGATATCATTTTGGGGCCTACACAAAGGACAATCATTGCTTGTATTCATCATTCCAGTGAAGCGCAAAATTATCTTTACTGTGATTTATCCTTGCTATCACAAAATAGAGCAAAGTCAAGGATTCAAATCCTAACAATTTCTCTAACTGTTCTCCTATCTGTTATTCCTGTTAATTCTATCTGTTCTACTATCCCGCTAGTTACCCATTAATGCGCTTCCGTCCACAACTTATCTTGCACACATAAAGATCGACTTACACGAGAGAGTGTTAAGTTATACTATATAAATACATTATTAGCTCATTTCCTAACAACTTAAATTTGAATATTAGCAACCCCTCTCAATTTTTTCTATCTTGATGTCAGAGCTCCCGTCTAGTTTGTCACACATACCACCCTTGAGCTAAAATCCACCATCACTCTTCAACAATTTCTTGAATCTCAGGCCACCCACTGACCATGCTCTGTTCACCCTTGACCGCAATAGCAACGTGCCGACCAACAAACCCTATTCACGAGCTGGTTAACATCATCGGCCTCGACCTGTTCACCAAATAGAGACAATCCGATCCCTACCTCCGCCGAGCATGCATTCCCAAGCGAGTCGCTGCCTCAACCGCACTCCGAAGCCGCATGCACTGGGTCACATACGACCTGCAAACCCAACCCTGCCTCACGTGCCATGGCCCTGCCTGCTTTGTGTCGATCGTCGGCGCCACGTGTTGCTCAATGAGTGGTTCGGTGCTGACACCACGTCAACACAAGGTCAGCGCCGCGTCAGTCACCATGTCCGCTGCGCATGGGCTCCCTAGTTGCTCGCCAAAGTTAAAAAACGTTGAGCACCTAACCTCATACATTGCAGAAAATGTTAATTAGTATAGTGAATTAGTTGCACGATAAAATCAAGCGTTAGTGACTATCGACTATAGTTGATACTTCAAGCCACCGATTTTTGTCTCTTGAATTTTATGCCCATGCAATTGGAGAACGACCCAATGCAACCAAGATACTCGATTGATTAGGAATGCTTACTTTCGTCTCAATGCGACATTATTTCCAGCGCCTATCAAATGTGACCTTTGATCTCGATTTTCACGTTTAATTACTTTATTTTTTTCGTTTAGAGGGGAGAAAATATCTTCTTTACTTTCTTTTTAATCATCGAATCTTATCTTTTAGCAGACTCAGAATTGGTCCAATTTAACTCAGTTTTTCGACCTCCCAAATCAAAACATGCACAAAGAGGATAATGGTATTTTGAACGCACGATTAGATTAAATGGATGAGGTCATATTCATTTCCGAAAACATTTAATCACGTTTTGGTAGCCAAATCTCCACGCCCTTATTCATGGATTATAATAATAATAATAATCACTATATAGAATTATATTTTTACACCTAACAAGTTCAACAGATTTTTTTACCTCTCTATCCAAATTTTCCCTCTAAGAGTAACACATTTATCTTTAATCCATGGAAACATACTAAGCTAATACCTTTTAACTTCACAACATGATATTTTTGTACTCGACGTGTGCTTGGATACTATTTTAACACAAAAATAGCACTAACTATTTAATTGGCTAATGGATCCCATTAATCAAGTATTGAAAACATTGAGATCAACTTGGTTTAAATACTTGAGCCACTCAAATCAATTAAGCTACTTAAATTAGGGCTAACGAGCTTTTGCGAGCGATTTGATTTGAGTGATATCAACTTCAAAATTTGATTTTCATCTAAACTCTCGAATCACTCGGTCTCAACTCAAACCTCACAAGAAGTGAACGGCCTCAACCTGGTAATAAAGTTGTTCCAGAGTAGTCAACGAGTGAAGGTCGATTTGCTTGGCAAAACATTGTGTCTATTCTCTGTTAGATGTACATGAAATCTTCGTTGGCTAATACATAATCGGAGATAAAACCGGAAAAAAGATCAAGCTAAGTACGAACTTAAATATTTTTACAGATAGTAGGGTCAAGATAAAAGAGAAAAATCATACATGAAAAGAGAGAAGGCAGTACTAGAGTTTTGTCTTTTCCCATTCGTCTACCAACCACCAGATCAATTTCTGCACAGAATCAGGTAGCTTTTGATGTAGCTAGCAAGGATCACCTAGAGGGGGGTGAATAGGTGATCTTAAACAACTTATGCGGAAATGAAATATCACAGTTGAGTCTGAATAAAATTTAGATTCAAAACAGTTTATAAACAGTGCTCTTGATGTGCAGTATGTAAGATAAGAGATAAGGGATAGAAAAACTGCACATAAATTTATAGTGGTTCGGCTTATAGCAAGCCTACGTCCATTCTCCCACGCTGACAGCCTACCGGCTAGATTTCACTATGTAATCAAGAGGAATTACAGATTCTGAGTAACAACACTCTTGTGTATGATAGGACTCTCTATCTCACATAATCACTCTTACAAAGTATCCCTCAAGATCTTAATTTTTGGCTCAGAAAGACAAGAGAAATGATCGGAGTATGCTCAGACTTTGGACTTGTTGATTCTTGATTTTGTACTTCCTTCTGCTGCTCGTTGATCTCCTTAAATACTCCTCTTCTTCCAAACTAGCCGTTGGACAGCTTTCAGAGGATCATCTTCCAATCTTCACCTTGGACAGATTTGTATAAAAAGGATTGAGTAGCCGTTGGATGACAGATTATGAATCCCGCTGATTCTGGTCGCCTATACAATCAGAATCTTGATTTCCATAAATAGAGCTTTATCCGTTGTAATGCATACTTGTCATAGTATTTGATTGTCAATCAATTATAGCCTTAGATTGAAATAATCAAAACTTTCCTTCTGTGAAATCCATACCGGATC